TGTTTCATTGATTTTTTTGTATTATCTTTTTGTCTTCTATGTCCTAGATTTGGGCTTTTATTTTGGTGATGTGGATTCTTCTGTTGAAATTAGGGTTTTTGTGGTCTTGCTTTTCCAGCTTCCTTAGGTGGCTTGTTAGGCTGTTTATTTGTTATCCTTCCATTTTCTTCATGTGCATTTGTAGGGATATAAATTCTCTTACTACAGCTTTCATGATGTCTCAGATTTTGGTAAGCTGTTTCTTCATTTTCATTTGTTTCCAGGTATCTTTTAATCTCTGTTTTGATTTCATCATTGACCCAGGAGTTGTTTAGCATCATGCTGTTTAGTGTCCATGTCTTTGTGGGTTTGGTGGGGACCTTGTTGGTGTTAATGTTTATTTTTATTCCACTGTGGTCCAAGAAGGTGCATGGTAAAATTTCAGTCCTTTTAAATTTGCTTATGCTTGATTTATGGCCAAGTATGTGGTCGATCTTAGAGTATGTTCCATGCGGTGATGAGTAGAATGTGCATTCTGTTGTCTTTGGATGGAGGGCTCTGTAGGTATCAGTTAAGTCCATTTGATCAAGAGTCACATTGAGGTTTCAGATCTTGTTGCTGATTTTTTGTCCTGATGATCTGTCTAGGGTTGTGAGTGGGGCATTAAAGTCCCCAGCTATGATGGTATTGGAGTCAATGTCTTTTTTTAGTTTACCTAGGAGCTGCTTTATGAAAGTCGGTGCTCCTATGTTCGGTGCATATATGTTTAGGATGGATATTTTTTGTTGATGGATTTAACCTTTTATCATTATGAAGTGGCCTTCTGTATCTTTTTAAATTTTTGATAGTGTAAAGGATACTTTGTCTAGATTAAGATTGCAACTCCTCCTTTCTTTTGTGTTCCATTCGCCTGAATATTTGTTTCCCAATCTCTTACTTGAGTCTGTGAGTGTCCTTTCTAGTGAGTTGAGTCTCTTGAAGGCAATAGATTGTTGCCTGGTGATATTTTATCCATTTTTCCATTCTATGTCTTTTCAGTGGTGCATTTAGTCCATTCACATTCAAACTAATTATTGAAATGTGAGAGTTGATCCCTATCATAATGTTCTTACAGAGTTGTTCTTCTTCCTATTTGTGTGTTGTCTTTCTTTTGGTTTTAGAGTTGGATCATGTGTGTTTTTAATCTTTTGCCTGTACTCTTGTGAAGAATGTTGTTGCTCTTTTTTCCTTTTCTTCTGTGTTCAATACTTTCTTAAGTGTTTCTCGTAGAGGTGGTCTGGTGGCAGCATAGGTTTTTAGGGATTGGATATCTGGGAAAGATTTCAATTCTCCCTTACTGATGAAGCTTAGTTTGGCTGGGTAGGTTATTCTTGGTTGAAATTGTTTATCTTTTAGAACTTTGAAGATAGGGTTCCAAGCTCTCCTAGTCTGGAGGGTTTCTGTAGATAAATCTGCTGCTATTCTAATTGGTCTTCCTTGGTAGGTAGTCTGACCTTTTTCTCTTGCAGCCTTTAGGATTTTTTCTTTTATACCTACTTTGTTTAGGCGAATTATTATGTGTCTGGGAGTTGGCCTTCTCATTTGTTGTCTTGCAGGAGTTCTCTGAATCTCTTGTGTTTGAATTTTTTTCATCATTGAGGAGGTGAGGGAAGTTTTCTTGAATGATTTCATGAAATGTTTGTTCCAGTGGGGCCTCTGTTTCTCTCTCTGCCTCAGGAAGGCAAATTGCTCTTAGGTTCAGTCTCTTGAAGTGATCATTCATCTCCTGAAGGTTTTGTTCTGTCTTTTTGACCTTCTTTTCTATGCTTT